CTGACCAAAAGTAGAGAACTTTGTTGGTGCCAAGTACGAACGGGCTAACTTTACGAAGTCGTAGATGTAATGGCTATATCCAAGGAACCGCTCGTTCCATACTCCACCAGACGGTCGAAACGACGAGATAATACAGTCATTTGACGCACCGATTGGACGCCCACAATTGGTATCGTGGCCGTGGGTTAGAAGTCATTACAGCTGAGATCGTCACTGCCGTACGCATGTAATTTGCAAGCTAACAGGCTGTTCAGTAATTGACCCATTGCTGATAATTAGCTTAACTCGCAATCGCCGTCCAGAGCTCGAAACCTTTTATTGCCGGATGAAGATTAGGCCTCACTTTCCGAAAGTATATGTTTGGGGTGTTCTTACCAGAAGGTCATAAATTCACAAGCAATATTGAGAAATTAACCCGGTTTCAAGGTCAGCACCGTGACTGGCACAGTAGATTAGGCGTCAAGCGTTGGGGACAAGAGTGGTAGAAGAAATGCTTTGTGCAGATTAACGGGAAGCAACGACAGGGAATAGCACGACCACCAACCTCCTGAGTGTGATTTCAACTAGGCTAGGGATAAAATCCACCTAACCAATCCTTTGCTTCTGATTTCCCGATAGACACTCATGGTGATGGTTCAGTGCTGCAGATCACTGGGATGCATTGGCGAGGCGATAGTCCTCTGCCAATTTGGACCCGACGGAGGTGCCCTAATCACCACGGGCCTTCAGATCATTGATTCCCTTCGCTGTGGGGAGAATGTCGCGTTCCCATACACTTTTGACTCGCTCGACGGCATCGCCACATTCCTCTGGAATCTTGACTTACTAGAGGCCCTAACTAACCTCCAATTTTTCAATTGCTCCCAGTCCAAAAAGACAACTTTTTTACGTAAGTTGGGCGCGGGGCATCCTTTGCGTCTTCAAAGGTCATAACACAAAGATAACTCAGTGGTCGATTTCTTTAGGCTGTATCAACCAACCCGAAGTGAATGCCTCCAATACGAGGGAAATCCTTCAAATGACAAGAAACAAACGAGCCTCGGAATTCCTTCGCCACTTTTCCGATCAGATACTAACATGAATATACAACATATTGTTCTAAACCATCTTTGTGTTCATCTATTTGAAACGGCATAGAAGGCGCTGTCATCTGACTTAAATCTTGTCGAACGGTCGGTGCGAAATCCTCACAACACTCATGCTTGGTGTAGAAGTACAGATCCAGTCGGAGTTTATACCCTCACCTTAGCTAATTCGTGCAAGGCAGACGACCTCCTCCACTAGAAATGGGATCCCATGAAAGGGCCTGCATTGGGAGAGTAAACTGACCGCAAAGCAGGAAGCAGTATTTTACGGCACCGCATTAACTGTACACATTTGCTGGAATGCAGGTGAGGTACTCCAAACGACCAACAATTCAGGTTGGAATGATTCGACGTCAAGATTGAGAGTTTTGAGAACGCGCATATCCAACTCTGAGACAAGAGGAGGTGAAATGACCGTGGTGGTGGGTTCCGTATCACTGTCTCCCACCTCAAGACACCAACCAAAAAATCAAAGCCAAAGGGCATCGAAACATGATTTAGGTATGCAGATATTTACACTTCAGTCACTATCCTCAAGACGAGTTATGGATTAGCAAGTTCGCATTCATCAATCCAATCGTTGTACACGTCAATCTCCTGACTAAGTGCGTTCACAGAAGTCTGATAGTCCTCTAGGCAGATTCCACACTTCACGTATCCGGTCTTCTTTTCTCTATTGCTATACTATCGCATTAGTAAGCACAAGCAACATACATTTCCACCTCGCAAGAGCCTTCGCGGTTGCAAAAGGGACAATTGAACTGCTTTGGCAGTGGCTCAATTACTCTTGCCTTAGGTGGAGGCTTGCGCGAACTCTTCCTCCGACCCATCGCCAAGCCACTCCAACTCGCCAGCTGATTTGGCTGTTCGAACTATGCTCAGGCAAGGCTCCTACAGTCTACTCATTAAAACACAGAATGCTCCCTCAGATTTCATAACTCAAAACAGAGAACATTCCATTTCCTCCAATATTTTTTGTTAATTTTGCGTTGGGAGTATAGCTGCCCCTCGGATTCCCTCTGGAGTCTGCGTTAATGCGCTTCTTGAAATGTTTTCGAATCGCAGAACACTGATCTGCAGTATTCAAGCTATTGTGGTTTCCCGACCACACAAAACATCATCACAAATGACGCCTCGACGCCCAGCATGCTCAACTAGGCATACCTCTTGTAGTCAAGGCAACTAAGTCCGCCTCGTATCCGTTGCTTTAAAAAGTGTCGCATCCACTAGTTTTACCAATTTATTTAGGTGAGTTTACGACTGGTGCATATCGGAAACAAAACATGGACGAGACGCAAGGCTTACTATGCATGTTCGACGAAGTTTGCTCTTTAAACTAATTAACGCTTGGTGTTGCCGGTGATCGAAGGAGAATTAGATGCTGCAGCGTGCCGAGACTTCCGAGCGGGTGGAAGGAGGCATTAAGGGAGCAGAATACGTGCATTCTAGGGAGAGCAAAGGGATCAAGACTGAGCCTGGCACAAAGGTCAGCACTCATTTACAATGACCAGACGAATCTGAAGGTAACAGCCAGACATCAGATGGTCACATAAACAAACCATGATGGACACTAAATAGAGAAGTCAAAAGACATCAACTGAGTTACAGAACATGCTATTGTAGAGTTCTAGACTTCTCACAATGTGGAAGAATGCATGTATGCTAAGGGAGAAGAAGGGATGAGCCTTATCTTGGTCCGAAGGCCAGTCCACGCATACAAGGACAAAACGAACACTAACGTAACCGCCAGATATCCGGTAGCCACATAAACAAAGTATTACAACCGTAGTGACATGGGGTTCGCAGTGCTCCCTGGAGCCCTTCTTGCAAATTTCGACTTGCTAGGATTGAATGCCATTTTCCGCGATAGTTTTCTCCACTCTCCCCTTATTCGCTAGCTCAATGTGCGATCAGTCGAGTATTTCGGCTTCAGTAAAATTGAGAAAGTGCACAATCAACTTCTTTCAACATTGTTTCAGTCAATGTCGACCGTTGTCGACTCTAAACCTCTTGGTTTCGCATGATGCCTCATCTCCACCCACATATCCACATCATCGTGCACTTGGCAACGGTTGGCCTCAACTGGAAAGCCGCCTCCAAGGACATTGCGCTCGCAAGCAACGAATCTGTCCTACCAATACGCCTTCCTTGAATATACCCATAGCCCTTGCAATGCTTTGTGAATGTGACCTCTCGATGTCTGGTGGCTACCTTAAGATTCGTCTGGTCATTGGCCTTCGAGCCAAGCTCAGACCTAATCCCTTTGTTCTCCCTGGAATATACATGTTCGACTTCGCCTAATGCCTTCTTCTACTCGGTGGAAATTCTCGGGACGCTGCGACTCTCACTGCGAAATTGTTTTGTTTGGAAGAAGTTCCTTCTCTTTTCCATCTGTATTGGAAGTATATCTTTGATCGCACATAGATCCAAGGATGCAAACACTGACCCACTGTCATTTACCGCGAGCCGCCGTTCCCATAACCTCCGTACCCACGTGGTTCCAAGCTCCCTATACAACGCATTCTATCCCAAACACACCCACCCCATTGTCTTGCTCATCACCGCCTCCGATCACGATATGTCAGAGGACGCAAAACTCATAATCTCCGTTGTCCAATCCCTCCGCCTTACCATCTACCCACTCAGTCCGGTGTCATTCTCCTCCCAAATTCACCGACTTACGGGCGCAAAATATTTTCGAATGATCATATTCGAAGACTTTTTGATCTATTTCAGCCTTCCCACCCTAGTCAAGTTGGCCCTTGACGAATACTGCAAGAGAGATCACGTGGCGGTCATTGCTTTCTTTCTGAACGCCAATACACTGCGAGGCATTCCTACTAATGAGCACTTTGCCGAGGTAGGCACGGTTCTTGTGCAAAGCTCGCAAGTCATCGTAACAGTTGCAACGGTACCAGAGTGGCTTGAGCAAGTTGCGCATCTTCAAGTTCCAGAACAGTCATGGGGTACCCACAGTCCGAGATTGCCTTTAATGCCATCAATATCTCCTTCCAAATCCGCCTAACTTTCAAAAGAATAGAGAAGTTCGAACTTCATTTGAACTCTTTTCATTAATAATACCACAACTCCAGTATTGTGACCCTTACCAAATCAGTACTAAGGGATGTTGCAGACGTTGGCATTTGATCCATTCGATGGACTTTGGTTTCCTCAAAATTTGCCCCTTTGTTGCCACTGCTGCTGAAGGAGAGTGAAGGCTTGTTAGCACCGACCAGGAGGAATCGGAAGGTGTCAATTGGTTCGCACGACATACCATAATGACATAAAGTTCGCAGTACTCCTTGATGCGTTTCTTGTAACTGTCAACTTGCCAGGATTGAATTTTCTTCGTTGTTATAATTTGCGCTACCTTCTCCTCCCACAGCTTTTTTAAGCGCTTCAACTCCTTGCTCAGCCTGACATACTCCTTCGCTAGCTCAACGTGCCTCTGGTACATTTCAATCGCGGCTTGTGAACGATCAGTTGGGCATTCTGGCTGCAGTGAAACCGAGAAAGTGCACAATCAACTTGCTTCAACATCGTTTTACCTAATATCCATCATTGCCGCCTCAGAACCTCTTGGTCCTGCGTGATGCCCCACTTCCACTCACCTTAACAACAGTTGCCTTCAACTGAGTAGACGTCTCCCAAGTTTACACTGACGCCTACATACATACACACATGCACACACGTTCCGGAGATTCAGCGACACGCAACAGTAAGGCTTGAGTCTGCCCTACCAACACACTACATGCGATAACTCGTGGTCACGCAATGACCTACGTCAGCTCGGGTGTGGCAAGACGTGTTGATCCACGTTATTCACCCTAGTCCCTATTTCGATATTTGCCAGTTTTCGCCAGGACTCGTATCGTGGACCACTCTCTGCTTACTCAACTCCTGCCGCTGTCACGCACGACACTGGGCTCACCGCCTCCAACCGCTTTTGCTTTTCAACTTCTTCAGCGATTAAGCACAAACCACCCTTTGACGAGTTCCGCTAATTGGGATACAAAGTACAGCCTTACCCGTAGGAGCAAAGGAACCATCCCCAAGTCCAACGGCTCAGACACCTACGAAGAATGAAAGATGTTACTGGCATTTCCTACAAAAACACACCATTTCGCTAAATTACTTCCAATCAGCCACCCAGAGAAGGTGTGCTTCCTAATTCAATTCACACAGTTGATAGCAAAATGCATTCAAGCAAGAAACAATGATTCGCACCTTTTTCAGAGACACCCGTTGGCATTTGGGCTACAATTGAGATTGAAAATGGATTCAAGTATCTCTTCACAAAATATGCCCCCAGTCCTCCTACACTCCAACAATACACCTCTTGTCGTACTTTGCCTTCAAGGGAGTTTCTGAACGCCCTAGCAATACTGCCCTTATGGAGACGCCATGCTGGCGGTTCTACCTGAGCTTGCATTTGAAAAATACCTCCACTGCTAGATGCCAAATTGCCTTGAGTTTGTACCTCTACTTTAAGGCCAAAGACAAGCGCCCACCGAAAAAAACATTAGTAAATAAGTAAATCGGCATATCGCCTCTGACCGAGATCTCATGAAAAATGCCTCGCATGCGAAACACTGTGGCACTAACAACTAAGTATTGCAGAATATTGTGTGCAACAAGTGATGCAACTGCAAGAAGGTTTGTCAAAGCCGAGTGAATGTGCGCATTTCAGGCGATAATAATAATGCAGTAGCGGTGGGAACTTTGGCGCAGAAAGCACAACCACTGTGGCCCCGCGACACACACCTCAACTAATGCAACTCGTGAGAACTTGAAATGTCGCGCCCTACCTCAAAAGTCCTCAACTCATGCCAATTACCACAATTCGTGAATTGTAAAAATCCTATGCCTCAGTTTTGTAACCAAAAAATCTGGACGTGTGGCGTGGACTGCAGAAAAGTGCAAGCAAACTAACCAAGAAAGGCACACCTATAGGTACAATCTACACTTACAGGCGTAATAGTGCCAACAACCTGCAAGGAAACAGAAATGAATAAATTTTTACTGTAGTGCACACAATGAACCAACTAGCTCCTCATCCTCGCCCAAATTGGCCTCCAAATCTGCAGTACTCCACTCAGCAATGATGGCGCTTAACTTTTTAGTGTGACGAATCGCAGTCCTGTCTTGCCACTACACCACGCTGCTGTGAACTGGTACAGCCCAGACACCTCTCGTGAAGAGGACAAGTCACAGAACAAGCCAATAAAGCAAACGCACTCAGCCAAGCAATGACACTTAATTCGCTCAACTGGTCAGTTAATGGGCATTTTAATGCACTCAACAACGACCCTGTGTGCACTTCAGTCAGCAGCAGCCTCAACCACCTCGCAACTATCGCTATTTCAGTCTATTTCATAGCTCAAGCCATATATCACCATCCGTCGAGAGCACAGAAAACAATGCAATATATACACCTCCTCCTCATACGAGGTATAAACATGACGCGGCACAATGCTAATGCAAATCACAATTGTTTCTGAGGAGAAGGAGGAGGAGAACCGAATTCCAGCATTTCAACCTAATTTGACCCAGCACTGTGTACAAACAACAAACCTGAATTGCCATTCAATATCAATCCTACCGTTTCGAGGGTGGCATAACGTGGAGACTCCTGACCATCGCCGGGCGATTTCCTCCAATGAATGCCTCCTGGCACAGAGTCCTACGCAAACCACAAAACAATATTCTCTAGTGAGTTTAGCAGCATTTCACTAGGACATTCATCGCTAGCTGAGCTCTTCACAACACCCACTTTCCAAGCCTTCTTCCACCCTCACATTGCCCACCCACTGCAGTGGCATCGTGTGCTCGCCATGGCCATTCCAACACCTCTCTTAGCAGCAGTGACAAGATAATTCAATCACAACCTACAGCCATCCTTGTCGTCGAGGTAAATAAGAGGCTTCCCGATTTAACTAAACAAGCTTTTTGACCACCCAATCCCTACGAGTTGTAAACAACTACCACGGAACTCCCACTGTCTTTAGTCAACGACAAATGCGTGTCGCAAACGAAGTCCACCTACTCCGTGTTTTGCAGTGGCGTGGAGGAGGGCACTTGACTACTCCCGTTTGTAAAAGGGAAGCAACAATGACACCACCAAAACAGCATCTTGTGAAACTGGCATCAGTGGTTCGCGTGTGGCCTGCACAGGCCAATGGAATTGAACACACAATCGACCAAGTTTCGCCCTCACTCCTGCCTATTCTTCAACCAGCCAAGTGTCAGCATGTCTCGTTCCTTGTGCACGCTTTAGGCATCCTCCCTCCTCGTTGCGACGCCTAACGCCTTCCCCAAAGTGTAATCAACCAAATATATACAGCAATAAACGACTTACAGTAAGTCTAATGGTCGCCATGCCTTCAGACAAACTGTCATGCGATGAATCCTACAAGTGGGTTAAAATAAAAAAGGGTCACAACATTTCCCAAGAGCCCCTAGACTACCGATCAGGCTGAAAGCATTAATAACAACGTGTTGGAGGCGAAGGAGCGGTTAAAATTAAGTTAGCAAGTTGTGCGTTTGTTGGTTTACGGTATTTGAGTTGATGGAATATGTGTGGGCCTGCTGATAGAGATCAGGAATTCCACCACCCTCAAAGTCAATGCTTAACTCGAGGGTGTTCTTGGTGCAGACTTTGCGCATGATGAAATCTAGCAATTGAACCAATTGTGGGGCTGATGGTCGTTGATCTGGATCCTCTGCCATCCCACTAGACACACAAAGACCTCCAATTAACCCTCCTGCGGCGTGCCAATGCATTTAAGACGTGCAAGAGATGCATCGAATTCTCACCAAGCGATTAGACGCCTTAGAAAGGACGGACATGAACGGATCTTCGTGGAGTGAGGATTTACATTTTGATCAAGCTTTCGTGTCAGCATCTCCCAGGTTGAAACCGCCATACTGTATATGTCCACCTTCTCCGTATAACGGGTATAATTTTCATCAAAACGACCTAGATTTTGAAGGTATTAGGAAGCTGGAACGTTGCAAGGGCGCTTAATTGGCAGTGGAACACTTCAGGTAGATGCATGCAGAGGACGCAAGACAAGTGAGGACTCACGCTGATGCACTTCCGGTGCCATATAGAGGAGGGAGCCCTGATTGACCGATTGCAGCTCCTCCTTGCCCAACTCAAATATCTTGGAGCTGCCAAAGTCGCTTATCTTGAGAATTGTGCAGTCGTCGAAGAGAAGCATATTGGCTGGCTTTAGGTCTCGGTGGATGATCGGCTCAGGACGAGAGTGAAGATACTCTAGTCCATCCGCCAGATGCAGGTTCCAAAGCATCACATGCCAAATGGAGTACTGGACATCCGAACGAATGACTATAAACAGAAGAAACTTCTTCAGCTTCAAGAAGGAGAACAGGCTTACGCTCTGCTAGGGAAGCATTAGTTGCCCGCTCAATGACAACATAACGAACATAGGCTTTCCCCGTATCAGGACCGGCACCAATGAACTTGACAATATTTTGGTGATTGCAGGCAGCAAGTGTGCAGGCTTCACGGTAGTTGTACTTCCATTCCGTCTTCGTAGCCATACGTCGAAAATCCTTTTTCACCACATTTATTCGTCGGTACGTACCAAATGACACATCCCCATAGTTGCCACCCGACACACTCTGCATAAAGCACAACACATAAAATTATCATTCTACGAAAACTCACCTTCCTCTCGATTTGGATTTCCTCTTCAGGTATATTAAATAGAAACTTGACCTTCTCCACATACACGTCGAACTCTTCCTCTGATCTAATGCAAAGAACAAAAAGCACAATGGGCCAAATCAGCCAAGAGCACTAAAATGTCCTGCCCTGACCTTACTTGATGCACAGCAATAAAGTTGACGCAAATACGGCGAGTCTGCCCAAAACAAACGGGCAAACTTACTTTCTCACACTCAACAGTGGCATCCTTTCATCCGGCCCACCCTGTGGGAGCAAACTCCCTACATTGCCGACTGTGGGACAACTCGCAAGGCTAGGTGCATTTTAAGTGCCAATAAACGCTGTAAGCTGGACTCGAGACGACTTAAAGTAAAGATGAGTAAGCTCAGTTGGTCCAGAGGCAAAGCTACTCAAACACAGGTCACGGAACATACGTACTAAAGTACAGAAATCACACGCGAGAATATAGTCCAACTTATGCTTGTGCAACTAACTTGAGGAGGAACTCAGCACCTACACAAATCTTGCATTTATATGTCAGAGGTGACGGTTCTACCTGAAAAGCCGGAAGTGCACACAGCATAACGAGTTAAACTAAATCAACCTAAGCGCGACATACGCTAACATTACCGCAAAAGCTTACATTTTCTGACAACTGCTAAACGACAGCTTGGCAGCAGGCCTATCAGGATCCATCGACTCGAGTCACTGTAGCACCGAACCACAAACCGTAATATCGGAAACTCTTCAACCAGTTTAAACTAAATGGCAACGACGATGCCTAACTTGCAGATCGAAAAGGTATTATGCAATATCTCATCTGCACGATCGGATTTCCCATTTTCTACATTTGCACAATAATAGTTGTAAAGCAATGCAAATGGTGAAAAGTGCACGCCTTCCCAACAATATACGCATGAATGTATATGCGGCAATAAGAGATGCTTTATTGGGAGTAGGGCTCAGTACCATTTGTGGATCTCAAGTGAGGGGTCTTATTGTTCTAAGAAGCATGAGGCATAGCATCCCAAGATTACCTATTTGATAGCGAAGGGCGTAAGGTGTGGCAGAATGCATTCTATCAGGCAAGAATGGTTAATGTGAGTGGTGAGGAGTGTGGCCCACTCGGTCTGGAGCAAACTGACTGCCGAGGAGATCATCATTTGTGTACATAGCATGTGCTCGATTACTTTCACACGTGGGAACTTATTATTTACTTCCATGGTCGTGGTACAGGCGTCTCGCGTGATGACTTCCGTTTCTTAGTCACTGATCAAGGTCTTCTACATGCTTTCTTAGTCAGCGTAAGTTCTTCGTACTGCTTAGTAAATCGATCGCAGGAAAAGACTTTCGATTGTCATAGGGTAGGTTACCTTTAATTGTGACCAGCGTTTACGGTGGTGGCAGCGTTGGCGGACGTCTTACCTGAAAGGAGACAAAGTGTCAAGAGTGATTGTTAATTACATG